TTTGTAGAACTAGTATGTGAGATTCAGCTGATAAAATTTAACTCAACTTTTGGCTTTTGTGGGAAACATTTTTTAAAAAGAAGCTTAAAAGTTTAAGTGGATGATGGTTTCTTATTGTCTTAATTGAAACCACGGTATGAAGTATAGTCTAGCTTTCAAAAAATCAGTTAGACTTCATGTTAACTTCTTAAAACATTAGTAAATACTAATGATAAAGCTAGCATTTTGTAATGTAAAGCTAACACTTCGTGCCAACAAAATTCTAAACACTTTAAATATATGTAAATACATAAACTCTCCTTTTGATTGTACTGAAATTGGCTTATATACTTGCATAAATTAAGCTAAATGGGTACTATATTCTAAGAAAAAAATTGTCATTTGGTTTATTTAATGATTATACTTTTCAGCAGGTTTCAGTAAGTAATTTGACTCATAGAAGTCCTGTTGATATATATTTCCTTGAGATTTAAGTCAGAAAATGTGAAGCTGGCATGCTTGGGTGACTCAGTTGGTTAAATGCCTGCCTTCGGCTCAGGTCATGATCCCAGGGTCCCAGGATTGAGCCCCGTGTCAGGCTCCTTGCTCAGCGGGGAGCCTGCTTATCCTTCTGCCTTTTGCTCACTCACTCTCTCTTTCTCTCTGACAAATAAATAAAATCTTTAAAAAAAAAAAAAATGTGAAGCTTGTCAGGGACTCTGAATTGTTAATGTTGTGTTAGTCATTCAGAGCTCAGTAAACAAAGGCTTAAAAGTAGAGAAGACAAAAGAATAAAAAGGCCTCACTTCCTTCTATATAAACTGCAGTTGGACTTGGATCTAAAGACATTTGTGAAGGAGGAAAATAATGTGGCTCCTCAACAGGTGTAATGATCAGATTTTCCAGCTTTGTTAAGTTCGGCTTAATTTCATCGTTTTTTTGTTTTGTTTTTTTTCACTAAACATAGTTGTTTTGTGTGTGTGCGTGTGTCACTAAATGGGATATAATTTCTATTCCTTAGTAAGGTATACCTTACCAAAAGAAAAAAAATAGTTGTAGATTTGAAGATCATCCAACTCATTCTTTATCGTCAGAATATATAGTCTCTGTAAACATCTAGGAAATGATCCTAGATATGTGGACTAACCTCTTGGTATTTCCTCATCATGTTTGAATTAGAACCTATACAGTGCTTTTTTTGTTTTGTTTTGCCTGTCTTTATTTAGTTTCACACCATGCTAATTCTTTAAAAACATTTGCAGTGCCTTATATCTCAATTTGTTATTTACTTTTTGCTTCTTCATATGAATCTGTGTAGTTTACTTAACTATACATCGTCAGAGGTTTTTATGTAAATGTGCAGGATAGCCCTGTGTGGTCAGTTTCTGTCTGTCGTTTTTGTTAGTAAATGCTCCATTGCATAGTATTTTCACTATGAACGGTATGTGGAACAAATCATAAACTATATTCGAGAAGCAGAATGTGCTTCCAGCACCACTTGTGCCCACCCCCGATAAAGCTAGTCCTCATTCTGAGGTGGCATTCTTCCCGTCACCCTGCCCCCTGTTGCTCATTCATAAGGCAGAGTAGATTACCTAATTAATGTGTAGGATTCATTTGTCACCTGTGCCTCTTTTTAAATATATTTTTTACTTTGAGACTCGTTGTCTAAAAGATGGCTTTTTTCCTCCCTTTTCCATTAAACGGGCTTTTAAGAGGCTGTATCTCCAGGCCTAGTACAGTGATGGCTTGTGTTCAAGCCAGAGAATAGCAAAACCCACATGTGTGCATGGTATTCATAGGTGGCATGTTTCCCAGGATCATGCTAACCCTCAGCTGCTTTCATATTAAAACATCTTTTCTGTTCATTAGAGTAGTTTCAGATGAAAACAGATACGCAACTCTTGACCTAGTTGCATTGAGTGTATATTTAGACTACTGTAAAATAGAACTGATTTTAATATTTCTCTTGCATCTGTGTGTGCACTCTGCTGTATCCTTTGTTACTCGTAACTTGTTACTTCTTTATCTTTTTTCCTTTTTTTTTAAAGATATTTATTTATTTATTTATTTAACAGAGAGAGAGAGAGAGAGAGCACACACAAGCAGGGGGAGTGGGAGAGGGAGAAGCAGGCTCTCCACTGAGCAGGGAGCCTGATGTAGGGCTCAGTCCCAGGACCCTCGGATCATCACCTGAGCCAAAGGCAGACGCTTAACTGACTGAGCCACCTATCTTTATTTTCTTTATTGTTGTTTATTAACTGTGAACAGATGCATTCGAGACTGATCATTTCTCTACTGTAATAGCTAAGGGCATGCAATTTGGAGCCATAACATCTTTAGTTTGAATACTGACTTTACCAGCTACTTACTCTGTAACCATGAACAAGTTTTGTAACCTTGCTGTACTAGTTTATTCATTTATAAAATGAAGAAAATGAATGCACCTACATTTAATGAGATTATACATACAAAGTGCTTATTGCATAGCCTAGCACCTAGCCTATTTAATAACTGGCTACTAACTATAACCAGCGTGGTTATTATTTTTCCTGTACATTTACCAGGTTCCTCCTCTGTCCCAGGTATTGTTCTGGGTATTGAGGATATAAAGGTGAAAAACACATAGTCCTTGCCCTCAAGGATCTCATAGTCTAGTGGTATGAACCAACTTAGACATAGAAAAATTAAAATACCAACATGATACAAAAACTCTTTTTTTTTTTTTAAAGATTTTATTTATTTATTTGAGAGAGAGAGAGAATGAGAGACAGAGAGCATGAGAGGGAGGATGGTCAGAGGGAGAAGCAGACTCCCTGCCAAGCAGGGAGCCCGATGCGGGACTCGATCCCGGGACTCCAGGATCATGACCTGAGCCGAAGGCAGTCGCTCAACCAACTGAGCCACCCAGGCACCCCGATACAAAAACTCTTAATGTTGGCTACTTTTTGGGTGTTGAGGGACAGTTTTTTTCCCCTTGGGAGCTTTCATTCATGAACATAGATTACTTTTATAATAGAAACTAGTGATAACTACAGTAAACTCTAGTAGATGTTGTAATTTCAGGTATGTGTACAGTGCTATAAGAACAGGAAAACAGAAGGGAAAACTGACTTATCAGGAAGCCTTTGCACCTTAGCCTTACCATCTTCATCAGACTTTCCCCCAAAGTCTACTAAGGTACACATCTTTGCAGAAAGCCTGACCAGAATGATGGGTGATCAGGTGCTATGTAAGCTAAAGACTGTCCATGAAATGGTAGCTGTCCCACTTTATGTATAGCTGTCTCTGACACAGCTGTTTTGGCCTCCCAAGATTTTGCATTTTATAAGACTACCTCTGTTTTTGAGTCACATTGAGTAGGTTGAAGGTAGAATGACTTTTAAACATCATAATGGGAGAATACTACCCTTTGATATGAAAGGTAGTTTCCTTGTTCATTTCTGTTCATTCTCTACAAAACCATGAGACAACCTTAGGAGTGACTGATGTCTAGCCTGAAATGGGCCCTAGGCTTCATAAACTAAAGAGGAAAGACTTGGGGCACCTGGGTGGCTCAGTTAAGTGGCTGCTTTTGGCTCAGGTCATCGTCAGGCTCCCTGCTGAGCAGGGAGCCTGCTTCTCCCTCTCCCACTCCCCGTTTGTGCTCTTTCTCTGTGTCAAATAAATAAAATCTTAAAAAAAAAAAATTAAAAAAAAAGAGGAAAGACTCTGAAAGCCCCCTGAAGCCTCCTTCCTCAACCCTAAACAATTAGAAGCTCTTTGAGAATGCTAGAACCAACCTGCATAATCCAAGTTCCTGTGGCTTCTTCATAGGCGTGTCCACCATCTAATTCAGGGTCTGGAATCCCTGGTTTGTTTTCAAGCTGATTGTCTATTTAGACCTAACCTTAGGATTTCTCATAGCTTGTTACTTGCTTTTTAAGTGAATTTATGAACATTCAAGTTTATAACTTTCTATTCTTGCTCAGCCCATTTAAGGAGAAGAGTTGTCCAAAAAATCAGAAATGCTCCCTAATGCCAAATGTCCACTTTCCTTATTGTGTTATCAAACTAAAGTAAAATTGTATATAATTTTTTTCTTATCTGTTTTCTTAGCTTTCAAAGTAATTTGTGTTTAAAATGAAAAATGAATAGGCTTATTGCCATAATTTAGTTGTGCTGAATTGTTTGGCTGTAACTTTAGCGATGATGGAGACCAGATTTGTGAGCCGTGGGATCTGTTCTGTTTGGATCTGACAGCTGGCTGCATTAAATGTCTTGGAGCTTTTTCCTTCGCATGGGGGTAGGAGGTCAGGAGGGTGGGAACAGCAGTGGAAGAAAGCAACCCACTTTATTTAATGTGCTGCATTTGTTTACTGATTCCAATAATAACATTGTGCAGCTGTTGGAACAGTTGCCTTTTGATTTCCTTTTGTTTACTGTTTAGGTTTGTCAAGCTTGTCTGTGATACCTGCTTACTGTCTGCCCTTTAACTAGCTTTCCTTCTTTATTAAATATGTTTTAATACTGTACCAGTTTCTTTCAGCCAGGGCATGCTTTGATGGTTTAGCAAAGTCAATTTACTAAAAGAAAAATGTTTTTAATTCTGTAGGTCATACTTAAGGTGGCTTGTTTTTGCTTTCTTGTCCCTTAGCTTTATTATTTTTAATCAAATATTTTGTAATGTGGTAAATAAATTACCTTAGAAATTAGTCATAATTTTTTGTTAAGCCACCATTTATGTTAAAGAAAGAAAAGAAAGAAAGAAAGATAGATAGATAGATAGATAGATAGATAGATAGATAGATAGATAGATAGATAGATAGATAGATTGATTGATTTTTGGACTGATTGTGAAGTATGTGAATTTTGTTTTATCTACTTTTGTGAACAGATTGGATACCTAGAAGGCACGTACATAAAAACACACACAGCCAAAAGATAAATCTTGAATTTGTCAGTTTTCTTATTTAGTCTATTCAGGCAGATTTAACTGCAAATTTATTCAGTATTATGGGAATTTTGTTCTCTTTTTACAGGTGAGGGACTTGTCCATTGCTTATATGCTGGTGACATTAACTTACCTCTATATTGGAGTCCTGGTTTTTGCTTCATTTCCTTCACCACCATTAACCAAGGATTGCATAGAGCAGGTAAGGCAGTAGGTACCCTCTCTTGATGATTGTTAACACCTTCCTATCTGCAGAGCAGGTGGGGTGATACGGTAGCAAGTTATAATCCCAGACAGACCGGGGTTTGAATACCATCTCTACTGTTTACTCTGCATGTGAGATTTTAGGCATCTTCCCCATCCTTTCTAAACTTCGGTTTCCTATTCCATTAAATAGTATAATACATACACCATAGATTTTTAAAGAGACTCTCGAGAAAGCATACTGCATGCTAGCCCCTTGTGGTACTCAAAATAGATAATTCCTATTATTATGTGCATGGTATTTCTCTTTATTTGGAAAACTGTTATTGGTGCTATTCATGAATTTGTAAAACCTCTGCTGGGAATACATGCAACCTCCTTATTTTTCAAAGCCTGGATCTGGAAATGTCCTGGATAATCTGGTATCTTTGCTCATCAGTCCCCAATGATAGGTCTAACACTCATTTTTGTACACCGTGGCGGGCAGTAAAACAAAGAAAGGCTATTTGGCTGTTAAAAAGAGAGGGAGATGGAAAGAATAGAAGAAAAGATTTTATTTAAAAAGTTGCCATAAGTAATACTTTCTTTGATTTGACCCATCATAAACTTAGGAACAGTGTAGTTTCTAGTTTAATGTGACTGACAAAAATAGCATTTTACAGATGAGTTTCTTTCTAGTCAGAAGAAATTCCTCTAATAAGAGGAAGGGCGCATGGGTGGCTCATTCGTTAAGCATCTGCCTTCGGCTCAGGTCATGATCCCAGAGTTCTGGGATCAAGCCCCACATTAGGCTCTCTGCTCGGCGGGAAGCCTACTTCTCCCTCTCCCACTCCCCCTGCTTGTGTTCCCTCTCTCGCTGTGTCTCTCTCTGTCAAATAAATGAATAAAATCTTTATTTAAAAAAAAAAGTGTAGTGGAATACACAGTACAATTTATTATGGATGAATTATAAGAGTTATTTCAGCATAATACTGTTAATAATATTGTCATCTTTATAAGAGAAATAAGTTTGAATTATTACTGTTATGATAGCTTGAAATGTTCTTCTCTTGATTTCCATGATTCTAGAAGTTCTTTGGCAGCCAAATGTTTGCTGAAAATTCCCCTAATGTGAACAATTCCTTATAAAGCCCACTGTCTTGGGAATAGGAATATCTATGGTATTTGTATTTGAAAGGAAACAAAAAAATTCTGAGTAATTAACTTTCCTTTTAGATGCCAAACTAAAATGGAGAAAATCATGAGAGGAAATAGAAATAAATCATTTTCTTTTTAATTATAGGCTATAAATAATAATGATACTAGGTGATATACATACTCTCACATTATTCTATAATCTTTACTTTGGAAGTACTATGATGTTTCAGGGAAGGAAAAGCAAGAGAATTGGTGAGGATCAAATAACATCGAATTAAATTAGCCATTTGAATGTATTAAAACAGATTTATGCTTGTACCTACCTTACAGAGCAGTGCTTCTGAGACTCTGTGAAGGGCAAGGTTTTCTTTGTTGTTTTAATGTCAAATCAATTACAGACTGATACTTTTGTAAAATAAAATAATGTGGCAATGTCAAATTTCTATAAAAGTTTCTAAACATTTCAATTTTTGTACTTAGTTTATTGAAAAATAATAGTTCACATATAGTTCGTGGGTGAGCACCGGTCCACAAACCAAAACTTGTGTGGCACCTATGTTCCAAATAAGCAAAAGATAGTCAGTTTTATAAATTTGTATGTACTGAGTTTATTTTTAACATTACTTCATTATCTTTCTTTGATTAGAATTTTTTAGACAACTTCCCTAGCAGTGACATCCTGTCCTTCATTGCAAGGATATTCCTGCTGTTCCAGATGATGACTGTATACCCACTCCTAGGCTATTTGGCGCGTGTTCAACTATTGGGCCATGTCTTCGGTGACATTTATCCTAGGTAAGGGCTCTTCTCTTGACCAGCAAGATGTGCCAAGCAACAAATGACTGTGCAAACAGGTCAGTTTAAAATGTGACTGATCCTTTTGCTATAAAAATTTGCCTAATCAAAATGTTTACTAAGGGTAGATCACAGTTGTTCTTTTCCCTGAAGAGCTATAAAAATAGAAGCTGCTTCCATGTCCAGAATGATTTAAAGTTACTTCCTTCTAGGGGCGCCTGGGTGGCTCAGTCATTAAGCGTCTGCCTTTGGCTCAGGTCATGATCCCAGGGTCCTGGGATCGAGCCCCGCATCGGGCTTCCTGCTCCACGGGAAGCCTGCTTCTCCCTCTCCCACTCCCCTTGCTTGTGTTCCCTCTCTCACTGTGTCTCTCTCTGTCAAATAAATAAAATCTTAAAAAAAAAAAAAAAAGAAAGTTCCTTCTAGTATAGTTATGTTAGCTCTGATACCAACTATATTTATCTCACGATTTATTTGCCATTAATCTACACATTGCCAAGAAGTTAATAGTATATAGTACCTGTATTAGCAATGTATGGCTAATGAGAAGCAATGCTTTTATTTTAATTATTGGTTATTGATATGTACTTGTATATTTATTAACATTCATGCATTTTTACATAAACCATACTTGCTTAGAATTGAAAGTGAGATATACAACAAGCTAAAATTCCTATTTGCTTCTGTAACTACTGCTGTAATTTTTAATCTCTTACTGGTGATAGAGCAGTTTTGAATCCTTTTGAAAACCTATTCAAAGCTACTTACCCTCATCCAAGAGAAATTTCCATATACTGCTTCAGAGTTTCCCTGGAACTTCATTTTGAATCCCTGGTTAACTTCTACTCTAAAATTAAGTTTTAATAGAGATTCATCCTAGTAAAAAATACCCAGTCCTAACCTATTTTACTTGAAATAAATGGTCTTAAATGAAGAAAACTTTCAGATAAAAACTTTTAAAGTACATTTACAGTAACCAATTAAACAAGAAGGTCTTCATCAGTTCTTCTTTGAAGTGAACTGATGCAATCTGTTCCCTCATTAAGTAAATAATTAGTAAAAATATGTTGGTTTAAAAACAAAAAACTTGGGCGCCTGGGTGGCTCAGTTGGTTAAGCGACTGCCTTCGGCTCAGGTCATGATCCTGGAGTCCCGGGATCGAGTCCCGCATCGGGCTCCCTGCTTGGCGGGGAGTCTGCTTCTCCCTCTGACCCTCCTCCCTCTCATACTCTGTCTCTCATTCTCTCTCTCTCAAATAAATAAATAAAATCTTTTAAAAAAAAAAGATTTAAATAAAAAAAATAAAAACAAAAAACTTATAAAAGCAAAAGTCAAGAGGTACCACTTTTTTAGCATTGACAGTATCAACAGCTACAGTTATAACATTGCTCATCTGGAAGATTGGATTTCAGTACATATAAGATTCCTGTTGTGTTTATGCCCTGTGTTGTATTTACAGTCCCAAAATAAAATAATACAATGAAGTCATAGAAGAAAAAAACTCTAGGTAAATGCATTATTCCTGTTTTCTGCCATTATTTTGCATAATGGTGGCTGTTACAATGCTTCTTCCTCTTGGAAATAATCTGGAAGTTCCCTTTCGTGTTCACATTACATTTCTTTCTCTACCACCAACAACACACTATCATTTATCCTACAGTTACAAGTACTCCACAGACTGCATATTTCAGAGCATACTTTTTTGGGCTCAGCACCTCCTTTACACTCTTAAAGTTTATTGAGAACCCCCATGCACTTTAACTTACATGGGTTATATCTATTAATATTTAACATATGAAAAATTAAAACAGAATTTTTAAATATGAATTAATTTATTTAAAAAGCAATAATAAAACCATTACTTGTTGGGGTGCCTGGGTGGCTCAGTCGGTTAAGCGTCTACCTTCGGCTCAGGTCATGATCCCAGAGTTCTGGGATCGAGCCCTGCATCGGGCTCCCTGCTCAGCGGGAAGCCTGCTTCTCCCTCTCCCACTCCCCCTTCTTGTGTCCCCTCTCTCGCTGTGTCTCTCTGTCAAATAAATAAATAAAATCTTTAAAAAAAAAAAACCATTACTTGTTTAAAAATAACATACTTAGGAAAAATAATTGTTTCCCAAAAAAACTTTTGTTTTACATTTTCAAAACTTTTTTTTTTTTAAAGATTTTATTTATTTATTTGAGACAGAATGAGAGAGAGCACCTGAGAGGGGGGAGGGTCAGAGGGAGAAGCAGACTTCCTGCCGAGCAGGGAGCCCGATGCGGGACTCGATCCAGGGACTCCAGGATCATGATCTGAGCCGAAGGCAGTCGCTTAACCAACTGAGCCACCCAGGCGCCCCTCAAAACTTTTTTTTTAAGTTGTATTTATTTAAGTAATTCCTGTACCCCGTGTGGGGCTCGAACTCACGTCCCTGAGATCAAGAGTTGTGTGCTCTTCCAACTAAGCCAGCCAAGCGCCCCACATTTTCAAAACTCTTTAATACCTGCTTTGCTAGGAGATAATTGGATTCTCTTATCTTCTGCATTCAGTCTGTTGCAATATGTTGTTTTCATTTAAATATATGAAGAAAATCTACTCTCACATAGACACGTTGGAAAAAGGAGTACTTTTAATAGCATTTTCAGATTATTGTGGATATTCTTCTTTGATACTATGCCAAATCTTAACAAGTAGTAGTTTTTTATAAGTTAATTGAATCAGAAACTCACTGATATTAAAACCCATTGGTCTATAGTACACTTTGGATCCTTTAACCTATGCATGTTTTTGTACCATGTTTAATCATTTGGAAAATATCATTTCACTGAGTTCTGCAGATCTTCCACACTTCATTATATAATATCAAAACCCACATTCGTAACACTGCCACCAGTTTCATCATAAAAGTCCTTAAATACTGGAAAACTGTCAAGTTCAGGGTGGCAAATACAAGCTGTCCAAAATTCTAATTTTTCCTTGAAAACTGAAATTTTATCACATACCACTAGTTGTTTTCCTTGAAATGACAAGCTCATAATCATTCATTTAAAAAAAAAATGTCTGTCAAATACCCAAGTCTGAAGAACCACAGTTTGTCTGCCTTTCAAGTAAAAATAGCATTCCTTGGAAAAAAGGGCTAGATTGCTCTCCAGCTCAGTTGCACAAGTACTTTTCTTCAAGACAACAATTTTACTTCACTGTGTAGCAGATACGCTGTATTATGTACTTTCTAATTGATCACACAGAATAGTAAAACAGATGTGTGTTCAAAGCATGAGATTTAATAAAACTAATAATTTTTACTTTTTTATGAAGGTCTCTTTTTTGGCAGTGTTTGGCAGTAAGGCACACAGTATAAAATACACGTAGGTGCAGCTGCCTCTTCCCATGCTAAGGGGCCAGCAGTTTTACCCACAGTTGCTTTTGCAAAGCAAGTAATGTCTCTTATGATTTTAATATGAAATCTGTTTTAATATGTCTCTTATGATTTTAATGTGAAATTAATATTTATCTCAGTGACTTCCTGAAAGGGTATTGGGAACTTCCCTGTGTTGTATTTATAGTCCCAAAATAAAATAATACAATGAGTACAAAATACACTATGAGAACCACTTCTTTGGAAAATACACAAAGTTGTTTCCTTTTACAATACAGAAATAACAGAGGCCCAGTCATTGTCTCAAAGCTCTGGAGCAATTTTAAAGTTGGAGTTTCTGGATAAGTAGCAAGATCTGGAAGCCTGAATATCTTTGTAATTCATCAGGATGTATGACTAACTACTTATTTGTGTAAATAATTCTCCTCGTTTTTATTCTCTCTGTAATCTTTATCTGGGATTAATTACCCCCTAATAACTTAGGCTCACAAGGTTGCTTTGATGTGTAAATTTCTTTTAAGAATCATCTTTCTGGGAAATGGAGTTATTTCTTGAGCATCACATTTTATCTACATTATTTTCCTATTCATGATGAACACGGAATATCTTTAAGTGGCTGAATCTGAAAAATGAAAACCTGCCCATTTTGTCTTTCCCTTAATATAATTTATTTTCCTAATTATAAAAATAAAATAAATACAAAAAAATATTGTAAGATATAAAAAGTTTGTTAAATACAGAGAAGTGGAAAAATTACTCCAAATTCCAAATCATATCACAATCACTACTACCTTTTCGGTGTTCCTTCTGATATTTTTTCCAATGTTTTCAGATTTTCTTGTGTAGTAAAAAATCTATCTAGCTTTCTTCCAAGTTGCCTAGATGAATTTACCATCTAGGTAGCAATGATAAGTTATTTTGAGTAATTTTTAATATATTCCATCAAGGAAGTTGTTACCTTGCTGTATATGTAGGATACTTGTTTTTGCCACAAATATCTTTATGTTAATAGCTTTTTTCTTATTTTTGTTTATTGTCTTAAGATAGTCCAAATGGAATTATAAAATAAAAAGCGTGAACTCTGATACATACCACCAGTTTGTTCTACAAATCTTTAACCTACTCATATATTTGCACAAAAGGTCCGGGGTCACTGTGCCATCACCAGCATTGAATACTATTGCTGCCTTCTATTTCCGCTGTGATTTTATTGTCAAGTTTAAGACATTCTCATTTTAAAGATGTTAATAATGAATTTTATTCTCATATTAATGGTTATAATTTGCCTGTTTTTACTTTTTCCTCCAAATTCTCTCCTCAACTTCTAGCATTTTCCATGTGCTGATTCTTAATCTAATTATTGTGGGAGCTGGAGTGATCATGGCCTGTTTCTACCCAAACATAGGAGGAATCATAAGGTACAGCCTATAAGGGAACTGTGCCCCTTCATGTATTATTCTTTATTTTTATGCTTTTCCTGTTGATATTGCTGTTGTTAATTTAATTGTACGAAATTCTTGTGAGTATTTAAAACTGGTAACATTCAAATATAGTTCCCTGGTGTCACTTAAGGTGCTCGTTTTCTTCCATCACACTGCTTCTTCCTGATTCTAGAAGCCCCATTATCCCTTAAACATCTTTCCCTTTTTCCCTTTCTCTTTTTCTTTTTCTCATCATTTTCCTTTGTACCTTCTTCTCTTTACCCAAATAAAAAAAAATTTAATATATAGTGTATAACTTCTTGAGTACCTGGAGGTCTGTCATTTGTTAAGGCTGTGTTGTAACTTTTTTTTTTTTTTTGAGGATACTTGAAATATGTCTTATAATAAAGACAACCACTATGCTGTTTTTACTTTTATTTGCATTTATTTTATGCAGAATTTACTCCTGGGCCATAAGTTTTTGTTTCTTCAGTTTCTTCTGGGATATCTTTTTCTTCTGGTTTAGGAACAATCTGCTCTTTTTCAGTAAGGATCATCTCAATGTGGCTGTACTCTTAACTTTTTTAACCCATTTCTACTCAAGAACATAATTTTGCTCTGAGTTGCAGTCGGAAAGTAAGAGTTTAGATAGGAGTTTAGGTTCCAGATGGGTCTTTACTTAATATACTTTCTCTAAAAATATTGTGGTAGGTTGAGTAGATGGGGAATAAAATTGTGAACTCAGATTCTCATGGAAGACGGGTTTACAGTGATCTGATTTCTCTTCCTCAACCTCTAGAAAGCAGGGCTTGAGTCACTTTTTTGAAGACCCTTACCTAAAAAAAGTAGCAAGAAATAAAAGTAGAGAGTATTAGCCTGATGCTTATTGAATATAATGGACTTAAAGTTTCTCTTAAGCTGAGGATAGGGTAAGGGAGAAGAAAGTTTGGGTTCCTCTGTCAGTCTTGTGTTGAGTTATTTTTGTTATTATCTTTGATAATTATGCTGAACACCACAGAGGTACTCATCTGTTCTCATTCTTAAGCAGATGCTAGCAGTCCTTCAGAAACTCAGAATGCATAATTAGTTTATAAAAGATCAAAGATAGGAAGCCTATCTCCAGATGTTTCTGAGGAAGCAGCCACAAACATGGAGACACAGAAGAACTATGGAGATTGGAGAGATGAATAAAAAACTCTGTCAAGCAGATGCTATAAAGATGAACAGGAAATAATATTTTATATTAACTTAGGAAGTAAAATGTTTTCAACTCAAATGCTTTATGTCAACAACAGTTGAATCAAAAATAACTTCATTGCAATATCAGACTGAAGAGGGTTTAAATGGGAGTATAGTTGCAAGGAATAATTAATCCAAAAAGTTTTTATTTTGCAGGTATTCAGGAGCAGCATGCGGCCTGGCCTTTGTATTCATATATCCGTCTCTTATCTATATAATTTCCCTCCGCCAAGAAGACCGTCTGACATGGCCAAAGTTAATCTTTCACATTTTTATCATCATTTTGGGCTTGGCTAACCTGATTGTTCAATTTTTTATGTGAAATACTCAATGTCTTCTCAGAATCTTTCATGGCATTTTAAACTTTGACAACAGTTCCACATAAATTGACTTATAAATGCTGCTGTTGCTATAATTCTAAATGTTTTCCTAAGATAATTTGAAAAAAAGGGGTGGGGGGAATAGTGGTCCATGAATAAGTAATTTTGATTAGAGTGGAGAAAGGGGCAAGAAGAATGATCTTTGTCTCACTTCATATGCACCACCCCTTCATTCTCATTGTCTTTTCTGAGTAGAAGTATATGCCCTTAGGAAAAATCATGTTGGTTTTTTATTTTTACAGATATAAGGTGGGTGGGTTTATTTTGACTACAGTGAAGATTCTCTGTATTTTTACAGATATAAGGTGGGTGGGTTTATTTTGACTACAGTGAAGATTCTCAGGGTATCACAGCAACTATTGCCAGATGCTATTTCTGTTTTATGTTTCAGTGTATTCACTTTCATTTTATTACTTGCTAGGCCATTTCTGCAGTTTACCCAAACATGTACTGTTTGGGACAGTAAACCAAATACCTCATTTGTAAAAAGAAATCTCCATGGCATCAGTGTTAAATGAGTGAACTCTTAACTGCATCCTTAATCTCTATTTAAAAGAGAGAAAGAAAGAATGTCAGTACAGGCTCTTTGGTCATGAACCAGTATGATTATCCCCATAGACCCAAGAGGGCTCTTTTGCTTTTTGAATCCCTGAGCATTGCATAGGATATCATGACAGGACCAACGGGGAAGCATGTAGGAATCATGGCAGAGAATGTTGGGTACGTGAGTCCCTACAGGGAAGAAAGGAAATGGAGAAGGGGCCAGAAGAGTGAGGCCTCCTTCATAGCATATTGTGAGGTGTTGGAAGTGTCTCTTTACCACAGGAAAGGACTAATCCTTTTTGAGGTAAGACTTCCAAGAAGGGGACCACCCCCCCATTGCCTTACTTCTTAACTGGCATGGTTAGAGGTTAAATCCCCATAAGAAAATCTCCTTAGATCTGAGAAAAGGATTAGGGAATCTGAATTCTTGAAATTAACTCTCTTCTTTTTCACTGAAACTAAAGTCTAAACCAGAATTCAAATCCATATCTTCCATGATACAGCCTTCATGTTCAGCTTGAAAAGTTAGATTTCTCTAACTTTAGGCTAACGTTAAAAAGTGTATTTTTTTAGTACACATCCCACATCACAGGATAATGTGTAGATTTATGTTACTTACTTCTTTTGAGAAAGACAGACAAAATGGTTTTTGAAAGACAGGTGAAATGGTCTTTTTTAAGCCTAGTAAAGAACCCAAGATTTGAGACCAGCCATAATTTCTTTCAGGAAAGCTTTCTGTCCATTCCATAGATAGGTATATGGAAAAATTGTGGTATTTCTTAAAATAGGTATTTCTTAAAAGCTCTCTTTGTAAAAGTCTCATGAAAATTTGAAGGCATACACAAAAGTAGAGAAAATAATAGGATAACCCTCCCACATCCCCATCCCCTATACTTAGTAATTATAAAACTTATGCTGTATTTGCTTCATCTATCCTTTTTTTCCTTTTCCACTGTAATATTTTGAAGCCAATCTCAGACATTATGTTACTTCATCTTCACGGTAATTGGAGCCATTCTCAAAAGTTTTTGTTAGCAGAAACTGCTGGTAGAAGTCAGGTTGATTAGAAGATTCTACATTAAGTATCTGTATCCCAATGTTAACCTCTTAGAATAGAGTATACATATGGAGGAAATGTCTCTGTGCTTGGGATCTCCTGCATCTTTGTGACCTCAGTCTCGTTCAATTAGAGACATAGGAATCAAAAGCTACATAGCTCCTTGAGACCCACGTTTAATCCCTGTTTATCCCTAGTCACCTCCCTTATCTTTGAAAACTTCAGAGACAGAATTTTCATTGCCTCTTTTCAGTAATGTACTTGAATGTTTTAACACATGGAAAAATGACTTGGTATATTTTTGTCCATGTAATGATCAAAGTGAATATGACAATGCATTACTTACTAAATTAAAAAGCAATGTGGATATTTGGTTTTCGTTTTCTTTAAAAGACTTGATAATTTAGAACTTCCAAAATCCTACATGAGGCTTATGCTGAATAATTTTGCCTTCTTAAGTTTCTACTCATGAAACTGATACCTTTGGCTTGTTATTTAGCTTGGCCAGATGCTCTTCATTTGAGTATGTATGTCCTGGCTCACACATTGGAATGATGAGATATAAATTCATTTGGATTACATTATAATTAATTGTAGACTTTCTCTACTCTCTTTTTTTAATTTTCTAATTAAATTTATTTTACTTTTTGCTCTGATGTGGTTAACCTCAGTTTCTTTGAATTTAGCTTATTTAACATACAACTGAGGACATTATAAAATTTTAAATGGCTTGTTTAGAGAAGCATTCCCTAGAAAGGTTCTGGATGAAAATATGGTATGCTCATACTAGGCCAAAAAGAACAAAGAAATGTCCTCTGACATTTGGTACCCTGTGGATAATCATCCAGAATCAGTTTGTCATCACATCCAAAAAATGTATTACAGTAAAGAATAAATTTACCCACAAAAAGGGACTATATTAAAGGTAAATACTCACTTATGGTTTGCAATCTCTATTTTGACATTTGTTTCCATAAGTAATTGAGTAAACCGCCATGTTCAGTGCTTTGGAGGAGTCAAAGCTGTGTAAGATTTCATTCATATTCTAAAAGAACTTTAATCTAGTAAAGAACTATGGATGTAGTTAACTATAATGCAAGGGACCATTAGAGAAAACGAAACCCCTTCCAATTGGGATCCTCAGAGAGGGCTGGTAAAGGAAATGTGGGGTAAAGCAGCAAGGACCCATTTTTCAGCCTCCTCCTAAGAATTGTCCAAAATTTTAGATATTTGATAGTTTCACTGTCATATGGGATCATGTAAGGTATAATTGCTTTTATTTTGGCAATTATATATTATCATAAGTATTATATTATTATAAATAATATAAATAAATATATTTTTCTAAGATACTTTATGGGAAGTATTTAACTGCTTCTGGTTATTATTTATTCTCTTTGCATTTGTAACACTACATTATTCACTTCTGTGAATCTTGGACAGCAAAGCACAATTGCTTAATACGGGAAATAAGTAGTAACACATTGGGCCGTGCAAATAGATTGCATAAAATTTTCTCTCCAAAGACATGACTTGCTTAAATATCTTGGTATATTTTTGTCCATGTCATGATACAAAATGTCAAATGTTTGAGCTCATTGATAAAAGCAGAAAATATTGATGCTGCATGTTCTCTTTACAAAGCACGGACCTTACTGCTTTTTAAAATCTGGTGGTGGCAGTTTGTTTTCTTATCCCAATTTGAATGTCCAAAACAAAACCCAAACCTACTTGACACTTAAACAATAGAACATTACATTAGTTTGTGATCCAAAGTAAAATGTGCACAAGGCGGCCCGGCTGGCCCCAGTTTCACAGTTGACTGCCGACCTCACTTCAGATTATGTAAACACGTATTGCAAAACAGCTCTGACGGGAACCTCGTAACCTAAACAGCATTCTCTGAAATGTAATTTGTTGTCTTTTGATATAAAAGGAGAAATTAAGTCAAAATTATTTTGAAGAAAAACAACTCCGGGATTTTGTTTAATTGAATTTTACCAGGAAATGCTATTGCCTAGTAGCACTGACCTCAGGGCAGAGAGAAGCTGAAGTTGCGTATTTTGCAGGGTCAGACCTCTCTAGTGACTTTGTGTGTGTCACATCAAGTCACTCAAGTGATTGGGGCATCTGTCATCCTAGGCCACAAGGAGCCCTCCTTTAGTGTATCCTGAAGAAAGGTATGTGCTGGGTTACATTCACCAAAATCTAAAATGATCACCCCTTTTGGACAATAAACTGGTGTGATCTTGCCCTGCAAGAAATTGCAAAATGAATGTGGCATTTCAGGTAAGTGTACCCCAGTTTCTGGCAAAGAGCTAGGTGTCATAATCTTCCAGAGCTATTTAAGGGCAATAAAGAGCTCTACTTTTCTTCCTTCCCTAAGTAAAATTTCTTTTTTTTCCCCCAATGTCATTTTTGTATATTTCCTTACTCTCTGCAAAGAGAAAATAAGGCTGTCTTTTTAAAAGATTAAAAACTTCTCCATTCTCCTTATTCATCATGGCCATAAAGTAAGGATTAGGATTGGGATTGGGACTAGAAAGAGCATACTCTCCAGATTGTTCCTCCTTTCGCCCTCACATGATCCCAAGTGATGTAGTTTTGTTTGGTCATAGCAGACACTTAATACACAAATTAATGAGACAGATTCAACTTTAATGGAAAGCAATAAATTGCTATTTTCTAAAATTTTGTTCTATCAACCCTCCCCCCCGCCAAAAAAATAGAACTGGTTCAGTCAGATTTAGAATTAGTCCTTAAATCAATGTTTAAGTTCTTACTGAATGCCAGGCCCTGTGCTAAGCACAGAGTATATGGTAGTGAACAAACGATATAGCCCTGACAGTTTAGGATCCTTTTTTTTTTTAAGATTTTATTTATTTATTTGAGAGAGCATAAGCAGGGGGAGGGAGTGAGGGAGAGGGAGAAGCAGAGTCCCCGCTGAGCAGGGATCCCAATGTGGGGCTCAATCCCAGGACCCTGGGCTCATGACCTGGGTGAAGGCAGATACTTAACAGACTGAGCCACTCGGGCGCCCCAGTTTAGCATCCTTTTCCCACCCTCCTGTGTACCAGCAGCTGGTCATTTTCCCTAGGTGACACTGAAATGCCAGGCATTGGCCTTTTCCTGCTGCTCTGTCTCCTCTGAACGCTGGAATGTAGCCATGTCATATAGATTTTGAAGAGGTAAGTATAGGATAGGTGCAATAAATGCAACTTTGTGTTGCACATTTATCAAGATCAAACTTTCTTTTAAGATAAAACTTTTAAAAATCCTAGGGTAATCACATAAAATGATGTAGACATGTGAACAAAACCTGGAAGGGGCCACAGGAGAATAAACATGGGTGACCTGCTGAGGTGATGGGATTCTAGGTATATCATTTCTATTATCACTTTGTTATTTGCATAACATATTTCCTAAAAGGATGTCCAGGGAAAATCATGGAAAGAAGCCTTGCAGAAATGAATCTACATTCAACCCATGAAGTAAAGAGCAACCTACAAACAACATTCGGAACAGGTGAGAGAGATCTTTTATTATAGAGGCAGACCCAGGTTTTGTGGGGCTGGACGCTTATATAATTTGGAGTTCCCTCTTAAGGAAAACATGCAAAATTAGGAAAGCAGCCATGCAGATGAGGAGCCGTGACTTAAGCTTCTCTCTAGCTTTGAACAGTCCACAAACTGCTCGAAGGGTGGGGCATTTAGGAGGCTGAAGGAGGTGTAATGAAAAGTTTTGTGCCTTCCCATATGTCAAACTGAGTTTCTCTGCTACCTTTAAGAACTCTAACTTTTACCAAATCTGAGCTTCTATTTCTGGAAGTCAAAAAAGATTTAGCAAAGTAGCACGGGGTACAAATTCATTAATGGTTAACTTGGGATCAAAATCAGACTTTTTTTTTTTAGATTAGAGTTTTTACTTGAGGGTGGGTCTTGCAGCGGGTTTTGTTGTTGTTGTTATGGTTTCTTTCAATTTTTACAGAGATAAAGAGTACAAAGAATACTGTTTCATTGTCCAATAGCTATTTAATGAATCTGAGGATAGCTGAGGAACATTTTAAGGGCTCTTGATGTAAGAAAACATACTACCAAGAGCAACATTTATTTATTTACTCTACTTTGTCCCAAAAAGGATCTATTTCTACTATACTAAAATAAAATCAGATTTTAAGGATTAACTTGAACATTTTCTAGAAAATAAATGAGAAATTTATGACACTCCTTAAGTAGAGGAAACTAAAATGATTCAAATAAATTACTCCTTAGTGCCATATCATAGTCCTTTATTGTATGTAGATAAAACCTAATTCAGTGCAGTAAACTTTTACTGATTGTCCTAGATTTGGAAAGGCACATAGAGTCATTCTTCCCAGTGCTGCCAGAATCCCATATTTAATATGACACTAATTATGTTCTTCATCTGCAAAATCATTCATTGCCCCAATAGAAAAAGGTCAAGGACCTTTGTAGCAGACAGTTCTGAGAGGAAAAACTGCAAATAAACATGAAAAGAAAAAAAGTACAGGGTCAAACTAGTAATCCATGCTAATGGATAACCCCCAAAACATAATGTAAGTGAAAGAAGCCAGATGCAAAACACAACATCTTGTATGGTTTCATGTATATGAGATGTCTAGAAAGGCAAATTTATAGGAACAGAAAGCAAAGCAATGGCTGTCTGGAACTGGGAGTAGAAGCAGGGATTAACCATTAACAGGTGTGGGGGAACTTTCTAGGATGATAGTGTTGCAGGGCTCTTGTCTCACAGAGTCAAAGAATGAATCTCGCAGACAAAAGGGTGAAGTGAAGTGAAAGTTTATTAAGGGAAGGTGAGAACAGAAAGGAAAGCTCTCTAGAGAGAAAGGGGTCCCGAATGGGTTGCCACTGACAGCTTTTATGGTCAGTCTTTTTTATTATTATTATTATGTTATATTAATCACCATACATTACATCGTTAGTTTTTGATGGAGTGTTCCATGATTCATTGTTTGCGTATACCACCCAGTGCTCCATACAGTATGTGCCCTCTTTAATACCCATCACCAGGCTAACCCATCCCCCCACCCCCCTCCCCTCTAGAACCCTCAGTTTGTTTCTCAGAGTCCGTAGTCTTTCATGGTTCGTCTCCCCCTCCGATTTCCCACCCTTCATTCTTCCCTTCCTGCTATCTTCTTTTTTTTTTTTTAACATATATTATTTGTTTCAGAGGTAAAGGTCTATGATTCAACAGTCTTACACAATTCACATCACTCACCATAGCACATACCCTCCCCAATGTCTATCACCCAGCCACCCCATCCCTCCCACCCCCCACCACTCCAGCAACCCTCAGTTTGTTTCCTGAGATTAAAAATTCCTTATATCAGGGGCGCCTGGGTGGCTCAGTCGTTAAGCGTCTGCCTTCGGCTCAGGTCATGATCCCAGCGTCCTGGGATCGAGCCCCGCATCGGGCTCCCTGCTCGGCCAGGAGCCTGCTTCTCCCTCTCCCACTCCCCCTGCTTCTGTTCCTTCTAGCTATCTCTCTCTCTCTCTCTGTCAAATAAATAAAATAAAATCTTTAAAAAAAAAAAATTCCTCATATCAGTGAGGTCATATGATACACGTCTTTCTCTGATTGACTTATTTCGCTCAGCATAATACCCTCCAGTTCCATCCACATCATAGCAAATGGCAAGATTTCATTCCTTTTGATGGCTGCACAATATTCCATTGTATATATATACCACATCTTCTTTATCCATTCATCTGTCGATGGACATCTTGGCTCTTTCCATAGTTTGGCTATTGTGGACATTGCTGCTATAAACATCGGGGTGCATGTACCCCTTCAGATTCCTACATTTGTATCTATGGTCAGTCTTTTATAGAAAACTGACCAGGGAACTTGGTAAATACCTTGTCTATAACATTTAAGACAAAAAAGGTAGATTTGTAAATATTATGAAAATATCTCATCTATATTTAGAACAAACAAAGTAAATTAGTTATGTTCCCTTCTCTCTGGTTAATATCTCATCTATAACATTTCTTACACATCTGGGATTTCTGTGAGCCTGCTTAGGTAGCCCCCTGCATGACCCTACTCCTGTCGCCCCCTACCTGTCTCTCCCTACCTAGACTCACCTGTCCCTTACTCAATAGAAATGTTCTAAAAGCAGATCGTGGTAATGGTTATACAACTACATAATTTCTAAAATCATTGGATGGTACACTTACATTGGCTGAATTTTATGGTATATAAATTATCCCTCAAAGCTCTTAAAGAAAAAGTTCAATCTTACTAGCCAAAAAAAGAAGAAAAGTAATTTTAAATGCTTTCTACTTGACAAATACTAAAATAACAACAA